TTTGAGATTTTGAAGGCACGGTGTTCTCATAAACAATTGTTTTAGAATTGAGACGGTTACCTGTAGAGGGCTTCTCTGCTGGACTTGTGAATGACGATGACATCTACAAATGGGAAGTTCTTGTCATTGGACCACCAGACACACTTTAGTAAGTTCGGATGAATACCATGAATTCCATTCACTATGATTTGATCATTTTTCTATTTTGCTTTTTTCGAAATTATTCGTTTACGCAGTGTCTTGACTTATATGTTCCTTCAGGACGCGATTTCTCTGTGCACAATTACGAAGCGCCTTTTCTTTTGATCTATTTTTAATTTTCGCTATTTAATTGTTTCTTTGTCCCATTTTTGCTCTTGCTACTCCTCAATCACTTTCGGATTCTCCGAAATACTCTTCTATGTGATATGTCATGACACGATCTTTGTATACTTTTTAAAACTACGTTTTAGTGAGGGTGGATTCTTCAAGGCCATACTAGATTTTCCAAAGGATTACCCGCAGAAACCGCCAAAAATGAAGTTCGTATCGGAAATCTGGCATCCAAATAGTGAGTCTATTTTCTGTTTGCATGTTCGGCACTATTGGTTGTGGTTTGAAATTCAGCGAAGATCGAAGGGCTCGGGATAATTTTGCATTCAACTACTCATTACACACACCCTTTTCTTCGTTGTTAACGTCTTGCTTTAGCATAAAGCTTAGGGCGCGTGTACTTCGTGACTATCTTGCTTTTGTTTGCAATTCCATTGTGGAGTAAATACGTATCTATCATGCAGTCGCACGTTTGATGTGTATCTATCCACACTTGAGCTTCAAGACGATCACAAAGCATGGCCACTGTCTTGCGCAGATTTCTCATTCTGCGGCAGTCGCAACTAAGTGGTCAGCACTAGCTGAGGGGGTTGCTTATGAGCTTTCACTGAGTTAGGTAGAAATGGATGGGAAGGGAAAGGAGAAGTATTCCTAATGTCCTAATTTTGCTTCTATATCAACAGAGCATTCCAAATATGTTTAGTATATCTTCTTTCCAAAGCATTCTCGTATGTCCCGGATACTAGCTGCCAGTCGGATCGCCCAGCTGACGCCTTCTTGGGGGATCGCAAGGCTACTTACTGCCTGACGATTGCGCTTTCAGCGTATAGAGTAGCGTTTCAGCGTTTGTCTGTCTGTCAGTTCGAAGGGGAAAGAGAAGAAAGGGGGAAGCCAACCGCTTATAAGACTAAAGTCCACTTTAGTGTTGAGGTATTACTCTAACGTGATGTCATAATTATTGAGTTGATAGGGGTCCCAAGCCACTCCGGCCCCTCCCTTTGAAGTTCACAACGCTTAAAAAAGAACGGGAAAAGGTAAATGTGTGCGAATAGAGAACGCCGCGCAGCATTGTCGAGTAATGGTCATGGAGGATTGAGTTGTTGTTAGTGCGCCAGTTGTGACGGTCTCCTCTCTAATGCCCATGTCACCTTTTCAATGGCGATGTTAGAAGTTCCTGGAAGAAAATCTTTCGCCTGTATTTCTTAACCAAAGCTTGCCTGGGCACACAGGCACTTGTGCTGCTGATTCAATTTACAAATTTAATTGTTATTAACACTTTGGAGACCGCGCGTGTTTTACGTTCCGCGGCCGCGCGGGACTTCGGTGAAATTTTTAGGGATCTTATCTAGCAAATTCAAAAGAAGAACCCACTGTATAATGCAGAAGAAATCTTATCGGATAAAATGGAAAAGAAAATGAATGAAAAACCTAATAATTGTTTACGAAATGCGAGCTGAAAGGTCCTATGCGGTCGGAGGACTGCAGCCCACATATGGGCTGCGTGGGCTCCAAGGTGTTAAATACCGATTTGCTTCACTATACGAGTTACGAGAATTGCGTCTGAGAAATGTGGTATTTCCATAAATGCGTGCCCTTGGATGTTTTATTGCTACATTATTATTTTCCTTCCTTCGGTGCATTGTCCTCTGAAGAAAATTGTGTTTGCACTTTTCGAAAAAGTCACTCATGTTTTCAGTTAACAAGGAAGGGAATGTTTGCATTTCCCCCCCCCCCCCCCCCCCATTTCCATTCTTCACGATCCAGGAGATGATAAGTGCGTGATTGATTGTTTTTTTTTGTGAATTAAAATTGCTTGCATATTTTGCATTTTCAGATGGGGTTATGAGCGACCTGAAGAGCGTTGGCTTCCAGTACACACGGTTGAGACGATACTGTTGTCGGTTATCTCCATGCTAGCTGATCCCAATTTCGAGTCACCCGCCAATGTTGATGCCGCGGTAAATTCGTTATCAATCAAGTTTTGGGTCTCATCCAGTGGCCGATGTCAGACTTTGCGATTGGAGCGATTTTGCACCAATTGCAGGAGCGACGGATCGCTTGAGCGATGCGAGCGACGGGAGATTTACACCGCCGACCACCGATAATTCGGCGCCATCAGTTCGTAAATCTCCCGTCGCTCGCACTGCACCCGGGGATTCCATCCCCTTGCAAACATTGGAATTTCGACAAGAACTGTCACACCACATGCCCCCCCTTACTGGATGAGACCCCAAGTTTTTTTAGTTGTACATTAATTTATATATTTTCCAGAAAATGCAACGGGAGAACTACTCCGAGTTCAAGAAACGAGTGGCTGCATGCGTTCGCAGAAGTCAGGAGGAGTGATGATATTGACGGTCTTTATGATATGCAACCAGAAACCCTAATTAAAATTTGAATGTTGTGTTCATTTCTTCATACGCTGCTCCATAACTTTACGGTCCTAACATCCTTTTTTCTTCAAAAATTTATGAAGCGATATTCTGGTTTCTGGTACAAGTTTTATCCTTTTGAGGTTTAATTATTTTGATGTTCTGCAAACGTTATGCCGGTTTATCGTCCTTCCATCACAACTCGTCACATTGTTTGTCTCCAATGTGCCCACTGGATAAACATTTACAAACTCGGTAGACCAATGTGTGAGGTGTGCATTACATCGCTTGAAATTGGCGGTCGTTTTACCTTTTCTTCAGCGTGAGTAGAAGACTGTTTTTGTGCCGCGTGATGAGCTGCAGTCTATAATAATTCTTTCGTCGATTGTTAACCGTCACAAATTTAGTGAGGTTTTGTTGACAGAAAGAACTGTGACTTAATATGTTTGTTGTAACGGCGTAGCGATTGTCACCTGATGCGAACTGAAATGAGATCCGCGCGCATAGTTTACAGTTTTGTGCACTAAACTGTTTAAAAGAGGGGTTGGACCATAATTTGTATTCACTAGCTGGTCCACCCGTCTGCTTAACGACTCGTTTGAGCAGTTCATCAGTGGGACGCTATCGGATTATGAACCGAGCTGCCCTATGATGGACTCTTCAACCGTGTCTGTCACTATTTCAGTCAGTCGTCTGTCCACTTACTGTTCTGTTTGACGTCGTCCACCGATGGAGAAACCAAAGATTGAAATTGTGAGCCTTTCTTCACTATTCTAAATAGTCTCTTAGGGTAGTAAATGGTTACGGAACTTTCATATTTAGGTAGGGATATTGCAAATAATGTTTTTTTTCTTTCAAATATCGCTGGAACTAAAGCCAAAGTTCACAGTTTTGTTATGGCTTGACAAAAATTGATATATTTCAATTTGTTTTCAAGAGGGACTTCAGGAAGTACTCTACAGAGCCTTTTCCGTGAGTTGAGTCTCTGGCGCATCAGTTGACGTCAATTGTCATTGCTGTCAACTTTCTTTTAGCTCCAATCCCGTGTTTGTTTGAGGACTGGAATCCACATAGGGTCTGCAATTTTGTTAACTTCTGTGGGAGCTACATTCTCCTAAATCATGCAAGTCGGCTGCAGCATTATCGCCCTAAACCCCGAAATCTTCAAAAAATAGACGGTTCGGTGGCCTTTCAAGTGTCCCCATGTCTGTGTAAATACATTTGTAGCTCACCTTGGCAGGCGGTCCACGACACAGTGATCTGATACTCCGCTCGAAAATCGACCATACGACGTTCAGCGTTGAAAGCAATCTCCCTGCCGACTGTTTTTTATTTCATTCCTTTTTGCAAACTGTTGTTTCCCAAAGGTAACCTTTTTCGAGCTGCTGGATTAAATTTTCTCCTTTTTCAATTCATCTCGGGTAATAGGACGCTGTGCCATTCAGCATGTGGTCTTGCTTACTTTGAAAACTACAATATTAAGTGCTGAATCGATCTGTTCCTGATGAAGAACCTGGGCTCCTGGAAAATGGCTTGGGGCTTTTCAAAACTTGTAATCATTAGCATACTGATTTTCAGTTGATTATCCCTATTGATTAACTGTTTTCTTTTCTAGCTTGATGAAGAAGGTTACAATACAGATCCATCTTGTCTAACCCTTATACTGCGGGAAGAAGATCATACAATTGGAAATTCTTTGAAGCACATACTCTGTCGAATGTGAGACTTAAAATAACTTTCTTCGATTTAAGTCAACAATCGATATAAGCGTTTTATGCTGTTGGTAAAGTAATTGATGTCAAGGAACCACTTCAGGAAAGATGTTGAATTTGCTGGATACAATGTGCCACATCCACTAGAAGATAAAATTTTGTTGCGGATACAAACCAAGAAAGGTGTTATAGCTGGATCCGTTTTGTTGGAAGCTCTTACTCATCTAGAAACGGTATGCTTCTTGTATTAGCCCACATGGGTTCAGTCCTTGACATTTCGTAAAAATCGTATTTTCAGATTTTTGCAAGTATACGAGAAAAATTCGAAGCTAATTACGAAGAGTTTACCAAAGCAAGTGTGGCGTGACGGAGTTTTGATTGTTATTGTTAATGTTCGTTGTTATTGCCGATGTTGTTCATATTTCCCATAAAGCATTTCATCACAGAGTTTGTCTTGTAATTTATGTGTTCTCGTTTGTAATACCTTTCACGGCAACGGTGAGCTTTCTGTTATTGAGGTAGTTATGGTACAGTTCTTTAGATGTCTCATGCAACGGGTCAGTTAATGTCCATTCATGTCGGCCAGTGTGGCAACCAAATTGGTCAGAGTTTCTGGAAGACGCTCTGTGACGAACACGCCATTGATGGGTACGAGTCCTTTCGACGCTTTCTTTTCATTGATAGGGATCCTTATTCACGGTCGCTGTACTGACTTATAGAATCCTTTAATATATTATACTGGAGCGGTCTGACATTAGGACATCACTTCCGAAGGGTTTTGTATCGTAAATGAAAGTTCTACATCTCTAAATGTGGGGCTTCGATTGACATGAAAGTGGAGGAGCAGGAAGGAGCAACAGTGATGGAAAAGAAAGGAAAACTGGAAATATCCAAGTTTTTGGTTTTGTTTGGCAGGATTGCGGCACAGAGCCTCTAGATGTCGCGGTGATAGAACAAATCAGAGATCATAGGGAATTAATCAATACATACTGGATACATAAAATTTTCTCTCAATGATGCAAGATCCAGAATGATAAATAGGCGAGCTTTAAGACCGGGGGGGGGGGGGCGTCGTGTAGTCATCAACTAGCTTTGAAGAAGAGCGACAGAAAGGCGATCTGCTTGCATATCCACTCTGCATCATAAACTAAGCTGTTGCTATATTAATTTCCCACCCGTTTTCATTTTTCTTGCTGTCAACTGTTTCAAAAGTTTTGGCGGTGTTTACGTAGTTGCACATCTGCGAAAGAGGAAATCTCAGAGTTTGACTGGTATTCACTTCATCTCAGCCGCCTTACTTCTTCTCTAATAATTTTCAAAGCTAAGTGATCGGGAATTCTCGACTGTTGGCGTTTACTTTGAGATT